TAACTTTTCCCCAGTGGCTTAAACAATATGGCAAAAGTCAGAACTCACTGACTTTTCTCTAATAAGCTGTAACTCAGCAACATAGGTAATTTAAAACATGTATTCAGGGTACTCTAGAGAGTAATCTAAATGCACATCTGTTCACTTCACATATACTTCACTCTAATGATATTCAAAGGACAATGACTTTCTAAACTTAGAAAATGTGTATTTCAAAAAATAAACAGTCCGTTCTCCATTAACAAGGTATAACTGGTTACTTAATCATAACTTAAGAACTTTATACTATTTTATACTTTACAGTAAACAATTTTCTTAGAAAAGCACCTTAAAATCAATCACTGTTTTTTTAATTTAGAAAAGTTAGAAAGTAAACTCAAGTTATGGGTAAATCTGTCCAATGACAAGAAATGTAAGTAGAAATAGGAAATGCATACAAATAAGCATTTCTTTCTAAATAAGGCATATAGGACTACATAAGTATGGAAATAAAATGTGCCACTATAGAGTTTTAATAATGACTGAATTTCAAATGCACTGCTCTACAGTATACCATATCTGTATTGGATTTTTTTTTTTTTTGGAAGCAGAGTCTTGCTATGTAGTTCAGACTGACTTATAACTCAAGATCCTCCTGAGAATGGACCAGGAAGAACCAGGAAGGCAGCCAGAGAGAGAACCCCCCACTCCAGCAACCAGCTGATTCCTAAGAAATGTACTGATTGACTTTGCAACCCAAAAGCCAAAGTCTAAGCAACTGTTTAGAGGACAACAATATGCAATATAGTAACTACTGTAGATTTCCTACTATCTTATCACTGCTTTGATTCATTTTATTGTTGTTTTATTTAAAATTAAATTTTAAATTGTAAGTTTCTTCAACTTTATTTATTTGTTTATTTAGGTACTGGGGATCAAAGTCATAACCTCACATTTGCCAAACAGGTGCTTGTGGTGCTGAGTTAAATCTCCGGCTAAAATTAAATTTTAAAAAATGTAAAAATAAATTTAAAAATAAAATAAAAAGTTTTTTTTTTTTTTTAAAGATCCTCTTGCCTCAGCCTCTTGAGCGCTGGAATTAGAGGCATATGCCTTGGGGCCCAGCAGTGCACAGTACCTCAATAATTCTGAAACATTTAAACCTACAGATGTCTCTACATTAAAATTTACATCAGGCTCACTAAAGATTACAATCAAATTAAGACTATGGTCTGATGCAGTAATACATGCCAATAATGTCAGCACTCAAGAGGCTGAGGCAGGAAGATCATAAGTTCAAAGCCAGCTGGGTAACTCACCAAGACCATATCTCAAGACATAAAGAGGTTAGGAATGTGGCTCAGTAGTAAAGCACTTGCTCGGAATGTGCAAGGTCCTGGGTTCAATCTCTACTGCTGCAAAAAAATAAATAAAAAGGGAGTAGAGACATGCCTGAGTGGTAGAGTGTGTGTTTAGCATGCCAAAAGTCTTGGGTTCAATTCTGGTACCAAGTTACCATATAGACGAGACAGAGAACTACCTGTAGGCACACACATTTATTTGAAAATGTGTAATTCAGGCTAATAGCGGACTCTCAGCAGGCATGGTGGTACACACCTGTAACCCAAGCAATTGGGAGACTGAGGCAGCAGGATTGCTGAGAAATTGAAGCCAGCCTGGCTACATTATGGGTTCAAGGCCAGCCTCAACAACATATTGAGACCCTGTCTCAAAACTAAAAGTAAACAAATAAATAAGAGTCAGTGTATTCCCCTACACCCATCACATCAACTCCATTCTCATTAGGAAGCTGACAGTAGCAAGGGAATAAGTGCCTGATTTGTTATATTTTAATTAATGCTGATAAAGCTGAACAGAACTAAAAGTACACATTATATAAACCTATAGGCTACCACCTCCAGCTCTACATTCTCATCACTGAGGCCCTGTGCCCACAGTGAGGCTTCTGCTGTCTGAATCCTCTTCGCCATAATGGAGAGCACATCCCACAGGTCAAAACTGTGACCAACACCCTGCTTCACATGAGTTGGTGGCATCCTGAAGGCAACACTGAGATCCTGATATTTTGGTGGCCTTAATAATAGGATGTATCTGAGATGAGCAGAAATCCGGTTGACCATTTCAGCCAGCTCCCAGAGAGGCCACCTACAACAGCAGCACCCAGCTGGCTGTCGCCCAAGGCCATGATGCAAGTACCCAAGTGGCTGCCACGGAGCTCCTGAACACCAGTACCCACAGGCATGAAGCTGAGTGATGGGACACCAGTACTCAGGTGCCTGAAGTTATGGTTGATGACGCTACTAGCCAGGTGCCTGAGATTGAGTATCATAGAAATCAGACTGCTCGAACTGGTTGGTGAAATTACAAAGATGTTTCCTATCCAGGAGTGAAAGCCAGGCAGGAGATCAAGTGGGACTCTCTAAAAATATCATCTTTCTTCCTGGTCTCCTTCTGCCCTAGAAGTGGATTGTGTGTCTTTTTCACTACCGTCATACAAAGTTTCCAAATAAAGATTTACGAAGTTCTAATAAATAAACCTACATACAAGTACTTGTCTAAACTAAAATAACTGAAATAAAGGACCAAACTATAAATTCACCCCCAAGAATGTTAATATTCATTTTATTAAACTAAAATTAAGTTCTTTCTCAATAAAGTCTAAAACAACATACATACCTTTCTAGGTTAATCATTTTAAAAAGCACTCTGCCAATGTTTACTGTAAAATGATTTATCACTCTAGGTTCCTCCTACAACCAATGCACAAAAGTAGTACAAGGATGTTCATGCACAGATGCTAGTAACAGTGAACATCCATTTAAAGAAAAAAGATTGACTCACCTAGGTACTTCATACTGTTACATATTATGTAATAATTTGCAAGTCACAAAGGAGCTATCTTTACTGCCACAGAAGGATCTCCAAGTATGCAGAAAAAGCAAGTATGCAAAACAACGGCTAAGACACCATACATACATGTCAATCTTTTTCCTCTATCTTACCAACTATTTCATATGTATGTATGTGCTCATAAGAACGGAAAAAATAAGGCGTGGTGGCACATGCCTGTAATCACAGGTCCTCAGGAGACTGAGACAAGAGAATCCCAAGTTTCAGGCCAAAGGCCAGCTGGGCAACTTAGCAAGAGTCGGCTTCAAAATTAAAAAGGCTGGGGATGAAGCTCAGTGCTTAGAGCCCTGTGCAGCACATGAGACCCTTGCTTCAATCCTAGCTCTGCAAAAAAAAAAAAGGAAAGAAAGAAAAATATTCAGGAAACAGAAAATACAACCCCGCAGGGGCAGGATACGAAATTGAAATGGGAAAGAACAACACTGAGATTTCTGCTTTATCAGTTTTTAAAAAGAGAATATATTCATACATTGAGACCCGCAAAAGAACTTAAAAATCTTAATTTTCCTCAAGCCAAAACCGCTGGCTCTAAGATTTCATTTTCTTCTATTTTCTATTTTTGTTAAAAGTCAAAAACAAATGACAAGGAAAAAAAACAGAACAAAACAAAAAAACACTTTTACTTTGCAAAGTAACTAAATTGCACACTGGGGAAGGGAAAAAAGAAAACCTTTCTAAATTAAGTAGGTGTGCTTTAAAGACACTGACTTTTTAGTTGACTCCCGCGTGACCTAGAAGCCTCCCCAAATCATGTTATCACAAAAGGAGAAGAAAGTGGAATACTATTCCCTGTGCTGGGTGTTGTTTTCAGGAAGCTCAAGTAAGAAACAGAAATGCCAAGTGTGTTTTCCAGGGTGGGAGAGGAGCACGAAACCCTACACTTCGAAACGGCGGGGGCGGGGGAGTGCAGTCGTCACTCTGGTCCCGACTATGCGGCTCGACAGGGGTGGCAGCAGGTCCCCCCGAGGTTAGGACTTCGGCGCGGAACCCCAATCCTCGGGGATCAGAGGGGAGGACGGACGCCCCAGCCGGTCGAGGAGAACACAGCGCCCACCTCCGCTCTATCTCAGTAGGTTGATCTCCCGGTCCTACCTCGGCCTGGCCCCCCAGGGACCCCAGCGACAGTCCGGGTCTCCGCCCCTCCCCCACGCGGGCAGCGACCTCCGCCTCCGCCCCCGCCCCGCGCCCCGGCTCACCCAGGTAGCGACTCCGCAACCGGGACGGATCCTCCAGTCCCAGGGACCGCCGTCTCACGTCCCACAACAGGTGTGGGCAGGAGCCGCCCCGAGACATGGCGAGGCCGGGCTAGCGGGGACCACCGCGCAGGGGCTGGGAGGACGGGGTGGGGACGCGGCCGGATCAACCCTCGCACTCCTCCGGCACCATCCGCGCGACGGGCCTCGCGAGCAGCAGCTTAGACGGCGACGACGGCTGCGGCGGCGACAGCAGCGGCTCCTTCCCCGGCGGAGCCCGGGTGCGCCCGAGCCAAAGCTCGCCTCATACTCTCCGCCTCTGACGACCCAGAAGCTCCAGAGAAGGCAACAGCACCTCCCGCTCCCCTCCCACAGGGGGGCGGGACAATCACTACCCCGCCCTCTCCTCGTCCGGGACACGCCCCTCTGGGATTTCTCGCGAGATGAGGACCACCCCACCCAGCCACCCATCCCATCCCTGCCCCAGGGTACAGAGATCGTATGGAGGGTGTGTTCTCGGCCGCCCTCACCCTAGAAGACTGGAACCAGGTCGCTCGAGTCATTCTCTATGGACAAAAGAGGAGTAGAGAAAGACGAAGCTGAGGTATGCAGGATCTCGCCCAAGAGTCTCAGGAAACAAGAGAGTTGTGCGGTGTCATCTTTAGTAGTGGAACGGAAGACCTGAGAAGCCCATTTTAACTACGGGCCTCTTTCGTCCAAGCGAAGGGGCCAAAGAGCAGGTGTGGCTTCACTTTCCCTTCTCTAACATGGCCTCTAGGGCAAGGAGGAGAAAAAGTAAAGGTTCCGCCCCAACCAAACAATGCAGGCCAATCAGAGCACGAAGCTCTCCGCACGCGTGCGCACTACCCTCGGACAGGATCGACACCTGTTGCCATGACTCCTCCTCTGTCCCCGCCCGCCGGCAAGAGGCGGGTCGCGGCTGGTTGTAGCTGAGCCTCCGCCCCGTCAGCCGTGGCCCGCGCTGCTTGGGGTGGAGCGCTGGGACCCGGCAGAGCCACGGAAGGTCGCCCCAGGGAAGAGGCGGGCGTGAGGCGCGGTGCCGGGCACAGTGACGAAGAGCTGCCCTTCGCTGCCAGGCAGGGACTAGGACACCGCGAAGCCGTCACCCGGCTACCCACCACCAGCAGGCGGCGGAGATGTCAGCCGCCGGCGCCCGGGGCCTGCGGGCCTTGCACCACCGGCTCCTCGATAGAGTGGAGCTGATGCTGCCGGAGAAACTGAGGCCGCTGTACAACCACCCGGCAGGTAAGTGACACAGCTAGTGACTCCCCCCAGCCTCCCTCTGGTCACTGTCGCACACTGTCCGGCTGCTGCGGACGTTGCAGGCATCCTCCCCTTCCTCTGATGAATCGGTTCCTCTCCCGGCCCCCGGTTCTTACCCTCTGCATTTCACCTCCCTCTCTGCACCTCCAAACACCTGAGTCCCAGAATTTTTGTTGCATTCTCTTCCTGGAGCACATCTCAAACTCCGGACCTGGCCTCCAGATTTGACACTTTTCCCACGTCTTCGACTGTGAAGCCGTTCTCTGCCCCTCTTTCCTTCAACTAATCACCCACGCCGTGAAGAGCTGGGTAGGTTACTTGCCGCAACGCAGTTTGGAGGAAAGGTCACATTTTGTTCTGCTCCGACAGTCGGAGGCCCACACCGCAACCCAAACCAAACTGGACGCGGGACCCAGGTTACGAAGTCCGTGACCTTTCCATCCTGTACTCCAGTTTATTTCTTTAAGTCTATCTGTGTGAAATTACTAAACATGCTGTACCTGGACCTGCTCTACCCAATACATAACTAGATGTGACCTTGGGCAGAATCCTAAATCCGTGTTTTGGCTTCTGTAAAGTATGAGTCGCTATAAGGATTTAAAATTGCATATATGCTCGATTCTCAAATGCTCATTTAGCTCTTTCTTGTCCTACTGAGAAACAGTGTTCTTGTGGTTGAAAAAAAATGATTCTGTAAGAAATCGAAAGATCCACCCCCAAGTCTTTATTAAAGAGCCTACAATTCTGTTACTTCGTCTATAAAATGGGAAGTAATATTTATTTGACTAAAATCTAAAATCAGATATATTTTGAGATTCCTTTCCTTACAATTTAGCAAATAGGAAAATATTTTAGAAATTGAAAGATTGAAGTGCTTTTGAAAAAAAGGGGCATTTTCTACCCACAAAGTTAAACCTGTATTCTGCAGTTGGTGTCATTAGGAAAGTTGTCTACTTCTGTCCAGATCTGACTGTGAAGCAGCTCTCAGGAGTCTGATTGCTTACTAAATCTGATTTCCACTTTGATATGGAATGAAGTATGCCTCTAAATGAGATACTAGTTTAACCCTTAATATTCTTTACTGTAATACTGAACCCATTGTGAACAGAACTTCAGAGAGGCTGTTGTTGATGAAGTAGACTTAATTTGCCTTTTAGTTTTTGTTTTGTTTTGCACTCAGTTTTTTGGAAATGTGCTGTGTTTTCTGGTAGAATTTCAGGGATAGAAGATTGGCCAGTGGTCTGACATCTGGGCATTGCAGAATTAGCGGAATTCTGTTGTGTCAACTGTTACCCTCTGAAGGTTTCTGTTTGAATGTTAAGGAAAGACAAGTAGAGGAAGAACAATTTCAAACTACTTTAAATAATACAGAGTTGATAGGTAATCTTATGTTAGTTTTTTCCCCAGGTCTTAGCATTTAGCCACTTATAATTATTACATGTAATACAGAATAAAGAGTAGACTGTGCATTTCATCCAAACATCCTTGGATTAGTTCAACTATATAAACCCTTTTCAGTCTAATTCAATCTAATTTCAGAAGGAATATGGGCTTGCACACTAGCCAAATGTAGACTGAGTCTTGGTTGTGTGACCTTGATCTTAATTTCTCCAAGCCTTAGTTTTCTGATCTATAAAATGGGAATCATAATCATCACATTTAAGGATTTCTGTGCAAATTAAATAATGTAATGTCTGTAAAGCACATCCCACAGTATTTGCATTTCGACTCTACAAATGTTAGCTTTTGAACTGCGTGCAGAGTAAGATACTGTCCCTGAAAATTTAGCATTGAAGGATGGAGAAATGGAGAAGCAGAAAAACACAGCTAACTTGTTTGTGCTGAATAAAACCTAAGCTTATTACTGTTCTAAGAGTTATTCATAATGAATATTCAAGGGGTTTTTATCATTAACAAGTATACCTACACACTCAACATGGAGGTTTTTATATAAGTATGTATTACAACTGGAATATTATATTGCTTAGAATTTTAAGACCTTTACTCTCTGCTTCTGTGTTCTTCCTATAGTAATCAGGTTGCTGACCTCACATATTGGGAATGTTATTCACCACCCAGCATAGTACCACCATCTCAAACAAACCACCTGTATACCTTTACTCCAAGTACTGTACTTGTCAGAGAAATAACCTTGAAGTAACAATGTTTACTTACACTGACATACATTGTTTACTAAAAAGCTTATTTGGTTTTGTGGTTTGTACTATAGGTGGCTTTAGCATCTACCTAGGCTTCATGTGTGGAAAGTTAATTCTTACTGTAAGGCAGTAGTGACAAACCTGTGGCACGCAGGCTGTTTGTGTCATTGAAAGCTCTGAAAGGTTCACTGTCCCTGTTATAAGGTAGCAAGGGAGCGGGGTATGATTATGCATGCCTATGAGCCTAACACTTGGGAGGCTGGGGCAGGCAAGAGGATTTCGGGGAGTTCAAGGCCAGCCTGAGCTACATGGTGAGTTCCAGGCTAATCTGGTCTACAGAGTGAGACCCTGTTTCAAAAAAAAAATCCAGAATTACCCAGGACTACAAAGTATTAATGGAGTGGAAATTTAATGAGTCTATGGAATTTAGAGTTAGGATCTTGTTGAAAAGATTAGGATTAGATTAAAGTCTAAGGGTGGAGCCCCCAGAATTGGATCCTGGTGTCTTTATAAAAGGGAGAGAGACCAGGCACACTCCCTGGCTTCTGCCATGTGATGTATTAGAATGAGCTTTGGCACAGATAAAAATGAATGATTTTTAGCAGTGAATTCTGTGCCAAAGACCAGTCTTTACAAATGCCAAGGATGTGTGTATATAGTTGGTCGCATGATAAAATATGAAAAATAAGGGGAGAGAGGATGGCCAAAGGTTGATGGGATACTAACAATTCAGAGGAGTGAGGGGCCATTGCACATGAAGGTGGCTATAGATACCAATCTTGTACTGTCTTCTCAGAAAATAGAAGAAAGGATGTTGAATGCTTTCACCAGACATGATATTTGAGGAGATGGCTATATTTAACCTGACTGAAACATTATACAATGTATACGTGTATCACGGCACCATGTGGGACCCCATTAATATGTGTAATTTTTATGACCTGTAACCATTCAATAAGAAACATCTTTACACTGGTCCATGGTGAATTCCTCAGCTCACTGTTTGCGTGTATGTAAGGATGAGCTGTTCTTTTCCACGAAGGAAGTGTGTCCTTGAGAAAGGAATCACGTGTACACACATGACCTACTTTAATATTTCACTAACAATTTCTCAGAAAGGAATTACAAAGTAAAATTTGGTTTACAGGTTTAAGAGTGCAAGTGAAATTTGTTAAGTCATTTGAAAATCTGTTACGATTTGGTTGTGATATTTGCTTGCAAAAATTTTTAAATCCTTCTGTGAAAAATTTAAACTTTAAAAAGTCAGTATCAGGCCAGGGAACAGTGCTTGCCTGGTAAGCACGAAGTCTTGAGTTCAATTCTCAGTACCAAAAAAAAATTAAAAAATAAAATAAGACAATAAAATATAAAAATAGCTATTATTTGCATTTTTCATTATTTACAACTAGTTCATAGTTTAAAATATATATATATAAAATGGTTATTCAGTTTTTTAACTTTTAATAATTGAGGTTTTCAATTACCAAAAGTTTTAAGAAACAGGATGAAAATGTGTTATTGGTTCTTTATCTAAAAGACTGTACTTTTAATAAAGCATTTTCCTGTAATCTCAGTATTTTGGAAACTGAGGCAGAAGGATCACATGTTTGAGTCCAATCTCAGCTACTTTGCAATTTGGAGGCCGGCCTAGGCTACACAGCAAGACCATATCTCAAAATGAAAATTAAAAGGACTAGGGACATAGCTCAGTGCAAAAGCCCTGGTAGCATAGATGGGAATAATTAGCTAAGCTAAAATGAACAGGTGAACTAAGTTTTCTTTGAAACTTTTTTAATTCACTGTGTGACTAATAGCTATTTCAACACTATTATTTCATGTTTATAGATTTGACAGCATCCTCTGGCATCTCAGAAAAATTAGCAAATAGGACTGTATTAAATATTTGCTATAGGAGCTGGGGATTTAGCTCAGCGGCATAAGCACCTGCCTTGCAAGTGCATGGTTGTGAGTTCAATCCCTGGAACCAGTAAAAAAAAAAAAAAAATACCCAAATATTTGCTAGTGACTTTTTTTTTTTTTTTTTTGCTTAGTACTTAGCAGTTCCTAGACTAATCAGAGTTTGTTTTCATTGCTTAAATCTATTCACTAAAACATCTCTCTTGATTGGAGGTTCTAGCAACCCAAATTTAATGTTTAAGTTTTCTGTTTTTTGTTTTGTTTTGGGTTTGGTTTAACTGGATTGTGGCTGGTACACAGTTAATATTTTTAAACTGTCACATAGCTTGGAGCAATTGAGCAAATTAGTTACCAGGCAAACCTACTGAAAAACTTGACCATTTATCCTAATGGATCAAGCATTTCAGTTTGTAAGGAGACCAAAACCTAGAGACATTGCTCAGGAAACAGATTTAGGAGAAGAAAAGATTTGTTTTACAATAGGAAGAAAGGTGTTTTAGGATGGAGTTCAGAATAAAAATGAATACCATTCCATTCAGCAGAGACGGCAGCTGTGTGCTGACTTAGCTAGAGTGATGAAGTCCCTCACAAGCTTTGTGCAGGAATAAAACTAGTAATAATTAGAGCTAGAGGATACCTATAGTCCTATCAGCTATAAGGCTGATGCAAGAGGATCGCTGTGAGTTCAGGACCAGCCTGGGCTACACAGAAAGACCCTGTCCCCTCCAAAAAAAAAAGTAATTAAAAGGTAAATTGCTACTGCACATGATCCAGAGGCTCTGTGTATGACCAAGAAAAATGATCTAGGTATAATGGTAGGAATCCTAAAAGCTCAATTTAAATTAAAATGCAGGGGTGTTTGAAAAGACCACAGTGCAGTTGGTTATGGAGAGGACCAACAGAAAAAATGATTAGCATCTTTTCTAGGCAGGGTTAATCTAATAAAATTGTATTAACAAATACACGCCTATCAGCCAGGTTCGGTGGTGCACACCTAGAATCCCAGCATTCAGGAGCCTGAGGCAGAAGGATTAAGTCTGAGGCCAGTCTGTGCTATATAGTGAGTTCAGGGCCAACTTGGACTATTATAGCAACACTGTGTTTCAAAAAACAAAACATATATTTGTTTGTCAAGGAAGATTAAGAAATAGGCTTTCGATTCCCTGGTACTGATAAGGAAAAAGACAAAAAAAGAAAGAAAGAAAGAAAGAAATAGGCTTTGTTTTAAGCAACCTAGTATCTGGTGAAAGTGATGCCTTAATAGTTACTTTAATTAGTGTAGAAAATCATAGGTGAATATTCAGGCTGCTCTGGCAGCTGGAGAAGCGTCAGGGACAGCATATGTCAGCATGTAGAGCCATAAGCAATGTGAACTTGATTGAATGTTTGCCTGATTCAAGCAGAGACCAGAGTCTCTGCTACTTGGTCGAGTTAGGCTTTTTTGTGTGTGTGCTGGGGATCGAACTCACGATCTTGTGCTTGCCAGGCAGTCGCTTATGCGCTGAGCTACATCCATTGTCCTCTTTGAGATTTTTGGACAGGGTGCTTCTTCGTTGAGGGCGTTTGGGCGGTACAAGAGGGTGTTGCACAGTAAAGCTGATCTCTGACCACTAGATGGCAGCAGCAGTACCAGCACCTACGTTCCCACCAGCGCTGGCAGTTAAAAATAGCTCCAGAATGTGAACATCCCCTGGGGGCACAATCACTCCTGGGTGAAAAGCACCTATCCAATCTAAAATTTATACAAGTTAGTATGCTAAGTTCATATTCTGAACCCAAATACCTTCGTGCTTTCTTTTAAATTTCTTTTTCCTGTAGTAAACATTTATTTGCCATTTCAAGCTAGTCTTAACCAAAGAAGAAAGAAATTCCTTTCTGTATCTTTTCAAGGTAGGGAAAGTGGTATGGCTAGAGTTTCTAAGGTTAGTGGTGGCTGTGATCAGAACAGTAAAAACTTACAAAACTGGATAAAAGATAAGTACAGAAAAGCAGAAACTGAATTTGGATGGATTTCTTTCGTTTTATTTTGCTTGAAACAGGGTCTCACTGTGTAGCTCAGGTTGCCTCAAATTCATAGTGATCCTCTTGCCTCAGCCTCCTGAGTGCTGGGATAACAGGTGTGTGCATTATACCCAGTTTAGACTTTTTTTTCATTCGGTGTAAGAACGTCAAATTTAAAACACCGTGCTAGTTGTAATACTTATAGCAACCATTTCGGCACTGTCTCCAGATTTGTTCCACAACCAAAATATGGAAATCGGTTTTTAGTGCTGGAGTTTGTACCCAGAGCCTCCTGTATGCCAGCCACGTGCCTTACAACTCAGCTATACCCTCAGCCCCCAAATATGGAAAGTTCTAGAGAGATACCGGAAAAGAAAAAATTGTGGTTACCAAAGACCTGCAATACATGAATTTATCTTTAAACTCATTTCTGCTCACAAGGAAAGACAGGATCTGTGCCACAATCTTCTGCTGTGTAAAGAATTACTCTACAGATTGTATCCCGCGCCTTTGAAGAATATACCATAAATCGTAATAGAAGGACTTTAGGATTAAATTAGAAAATCAGCATACTTAAAAGTATAAGCCCTGCTTACCAATTTCTAAATATCAAGCTGATACAAAAACCCAGGGCTTTTGTGCAGAGCCACCGGGCTGGACAGCTCATTTTTATTTTGAGAGCAGGTCTTGCTAAGTCTCATGGTTATCCTAGCTGGTCTCAGACAAATGATCTTCCTCTGTTTCCCATAGCAGCCTCTCTCAATGCTGAGATTACAGCCACATGTGGCCCACTTGATAGTTATGTAAGACAACAGCGACTTAGCAATGAGTCAAGAAGTTTAAGATCCTTTTAGATTCACAAGCATTTTTTTTGTTTTGTGAAAAAAGAAAATTAAAGGCCGGGGGTTGTGGGGATGCAGATTAGTGTGGAGGCCCTGAGTTCAGCGCCCAGTAGCACAAAAACAAAACAAAAAGTACTTGTGAATCTAATCATTTCTTAAACTTCTTGAATTTGCTGATAAGTCACTGTTCCCGTATATAAACTGCTTGATTTTCATGTTAACAAATAAATGTATTTTGTTGATCCAGAGCTATAAACGCCTGCACAACGCATGAAGGACTCTGCCAGGTAGCAGACTTGGCATGTATACTCTATTTTAAATTCCCCAGCAAAGTCCCTTTTTCTCTATTCCCTCTGTCCCCTCACTGTTAAAGGAAGCATATGAGTTGGAAGTTAGTTACAAGCAGTAGCTTTGAGAGTTAGAAAGCTTGGGCTGTAATCTGCTGCTTGGTCTGAGTAGGTCATGGACCTTCTCTGAGCCTCATGAATAAAACTAAAGCTTTGGATTCGATGCCCCCTGAGTTTCCTTCCAGCTTTAAAACATTGTGCTTCTCAAATCCAAGTTACCTGAGGAGCCAGTATTTGCAGTGCTTGATGTTTATTTAACATTTTGCACAAAACAGGTAGGTACCAGGATGACCAAAGCAATGACCCTCTCTGAACAGGTTTGCAGCGGCCCTCCATCTTGTCCTGTGACCTTCACTGGCCCACTGGGCCATGGATACTAGTTGAGCACTGGCCTAGCATGGCAAGGCCCTAGGTTTGATCCCCAGCATCCCCTCCCCGCCAAAAATTGGTTCATTAATTTTTTTAATACACTATGTAAAACTTTTGCAAGAACTCTTACATGATACAAAGGTAAAATGCCATTTATAGTTAAAATACAACAAAATTAGTGAATATACATATATCTAGTGAGGCTAATATAGCTAAAATTACTTTTTTTTTTTACTTTTCAATTTCCCAAACTTGAAAATTTTCTGTGGATAAACTAACGTTAAGTTCCATATTCAAGGCAATGCACCAGGAATGGTTTCCAAAACCATTTCTGATATAGCTTAATTTTTAATATGTCCCCAAAATACAGGTAACTGAGGAATTGAGAACAACCTTGTGAAAGACTAATACAGTAATAGTGTGTACCTTTCTAAAGGTTAATTAATACAAAGTTAGCAGAAAGCCTAGCAAAAGTGATTAGAAATAGATTAGTAAAACTTGGGGTTTTGAAATTTGGTGACAATTGCATTAAATATTTGGTTTATTTCTGAACCTTTCTTTTTTTTTTCCTACCAGGCCCCAGAACAGTGTTTTTCTGGGCTCCAATTATGAAATGGGTAAGTCTGAAGCTTTCTTTTTTGGGTAGGGTGCGGCTGAGTGTTGACCCAGGGTCTCTGTATGTATCTCTGCTGAGATTACAGATGTGTGCCATCACGCCTGGCTAGTCTGAACATTTTGCAGGAGCTATTGAAAAAAATTCTTTAATAGGAACTTTTTAATTTGAGGTAAATTTTATGAAGGATATGCTTTAAAATATTATCAGCGGGGGCTGGGGATTTAGCTCAGCGGCATAAGCACCTGCCTTGCAAGCAGGCAGTCGTGAGTTCGATCCCCGGTACCGATAAAAAAGAAAAAGACAAAAAAATTAAATAAATAAATAAATAAAATATTATCAGCATACCTCTAAATGATTTTACAGCGAATACTCTCTGTCATATCATTTTTAAAGCATAGAGCACATTACCCCCTTTAGTTTTTCTGAAGTCCCTAGAGAAATGGCCTTCTGGCAGATTTCCTATCAAAACATAGTTTTAGACCCCTAGGGACTTCAAATTTCATTCTAAAACCTTACCACTGATCAGGGGATTTTGCTTAGTGATAGAGTAAAAGATTAACAGACACGCTGACCTGTGTTTGGTCTCCAGCATAAAGGAAAAAACCCAGGCATGGTAGCATGCATCTGTAGTCCAGCTACTAGGGAGGTTGAGGCAGGAGAATCATTTGAACTCAGGAGTTCAAGGCCAGCCTGGACAACTTAGTGAAACACTGTCTGTGTGTCTGTGTCTCTCTGTCTGTCTGTCAGTAAACGATAGAGCCTAGTACTTCTGACTCCAGGCTCAATGCATTTGCCCTGTAACAGAGTTACCTAAAGTTCTTATTTAGCTGGGAGAAAAGAAGAGCTCAGTGGCCATTTGTGGCAAATCACTGAGTTCTTGTTGAGAGGACTGATTTTGGTCTTTCCCGTGCTTCTCAGAGCGTATCCCTGACTGGTTACAAATGCAGGTGTTTAGGCCACATCACACACTGACACCTGAACCTCAAGGGGCAGGCCAGGTAACCTGTTTTTTCAGCACTTTCCCAGTCATCCTGGAACCCTCTAAAGTTTAAAAACTGTCAGTCTGTGAGGGGACTTCATAGTAAAATTATCATCTCAGCCACTTTTAGGTGTACACTTCAGTAGCACCAAGTGGATTTACATCATTATCTCCACAACTCTTTGCATCTTGCAAAATTTAAGACTAGGGCTGAGCACAATGGCACACACCTGTAATTCCAGCACTTGGGAGGCTGAGGCAGGAGGATCACCAAAGTTCAAGGCCGTAGTGGTTCAGTTTACTCTTTCCAATCAAAATAAGTGATACTAAAAAAAAAAAAAAAAAAAAAGCCCTTGTATGTGGAACAGATACTACGATTTCCTTTCTCTTCCTACAGACATTTAAAATTATGTAGTAGTTATGTATGTATAAGGTAGAATAAGCAAGATACGTCTGTACATGCCTGTGATCCCAGCACTCAGAGGGCTGAGGCACGAGGATCGCTGTGAGTTCAAGGCCACCCTGGGCAACATAGTGAGTTCAAGACGAGTCTGAGCTACATGGTGAAGAGACCCTGTCTCAAAAAAACAAAAAAAAATTAAAAATAAAAAGCGGGGGCTGAGGATTTAGCTCAGCAGCATAAGCAGCTACCTTGCAAGCACATGGTCATGAGTTCGATTCCCAGTACCAATAAAAATAATAAAAAGCGATTTCATGTATTTATAATAAATTTGAAGATCTGTTTGACCTCAAACCTAGCCAGGGTGTAGGAATTTATTGATCTTACCACTAGCATTGCATTTATTTGATCCGACCTAGAAGTGTTCTGAGACATGGGCAGTTTTCTATTCTGAAAAACACCCTCTTGACTATTTCTGTCCCTTTGGAAATACCCTACTTCAAGTTCATGTTGAAATAATTCAGAGTCCCCTAATAACAGTGTGGCAATAGAAAGTTCTACGTCCTGTTCTCTGGTGGACTTTCCTTAGTAAATATTTACTCAGTGTATATGCTGATGTTTCTTGTCCCAATGTAGTTGATAATTAATCTGTGGCAGTCTATACGTGCTAGGTCAGAGTTGATGCTACAAGCCACAAGTGTTCCATATTAAGACTTTCAAGCCATATTTCTTCTTATCTATAGGAGATTTGCCTTTGCCACTTTACCTGAAATTAAATAATCTTTTCAATCTTGAATAAATTGTACTATTGGGGGCTGGGGATATAGCTCAGCAGCACAGCGCCTGCCTGTCAGGTACAAGGCCCTGGGTTCAATTCCCCACACCAAAAAAAAAGCATACCATGGTGCATCCTATGTAATTTCCGCTTCCATTTTCTTTAAAGCAGAGCAGGCTCATAGACACTTTCAAACATGATGGGAACAAAAACCTGCTAGGCTTTAAGATGGCTTTTCTCCTAGTCTGCTTTTTGTTTTGTTCACCCCTAACTGGACAGATTTTAACACTCACCTTTATTTAATTTTACCAAAATAGTTACTTTAGTTTCCATAGAAATAACAGGCTTCTTTGTATTTCAGCAGTTCATCTAGTAGTTTATTCAGTTGTGTAAAGTGCATGAACAGGTGTGAGCACAGGCGCCGTGACTCGGTAGAATGCAGCTCAGCTAGAGGGAGCGGAAGTGCTAGGGTGTGATGGAGAGCAGCCCCCAGCCGGAGTCCACGCTGGGCACCGTCGGACCTGGGGGCACTGCAGTAGGATGTGGCAGTGGGTTAAGAACGCTTCCCTTTACTTTGGGTTTTTTTTCCCCAAAAAAACATTGTCATCACTTTGCTCTTGTATAATACACCATTTGGAATAATTTTTCTCTTCTCCTTAGGGATAAGTCCATCATTTCCAATTTATCCTGGCAGATTATTATTCCCTATTTGCTTTTCTAGCCGAAATCTCTTGCACAGATTCACAGTTTAAAATCCTGAAGTCTTTTCTATGTCTCAGTATTTGGAGCTGAAATACTCTGGGGTAACGTTTTCAACCCTCCTGTAACAGTATAATGTGGCAAGAGTTTCTAATAATCAAGATAATGCTGAAAGAAAGGGAGACAGAAAAGAAAAAATTAATTGTAAACCATTTCTTGAGTATTTATGACAATCCAGTGAAGATACACAAGTGCAGAAAGAATTACAAACATAGGCTCTAGACATTTTTAAAACACTGTTTCAATTGATGAGAACAGCAGCAGTTAGCTTGAGTCTACTGGATACCAAACTGCCTGTACTATTTGTCTAGTACATCTCCTATTTCATCTTTATCCCCAAACTGAGAAATAAGTACTATTAGTGTTTCCCAAATGAAGGTACTGAGATTCAGAAAACTCAATGACTGTACACATTCTCCTTAGTAAGTGGCTTGGTCAGGATTTGAATCTTCAGGATTTGACTTCAAATCCTGTGTTAGGAACTCTTGCATTACCACCTCTGAAATAGTCTTCGTGGATCTAGTACTTTCTTAGTCTGCTAGGGAAGACTTTGCATAATTTTGTGTATACAATGGACCTTCAGCATCTCCAGTTCATGACTTGAGTACAGTGGAGAAGGACCCCACACATCCCTGCATCCTGAGCCTAATAATGCAGTAAAGGGTCCCGAGATAGCACCCCTCCACCCACACTGCTCTGAAGAGGCTAGCTGCTTTATTTTGCTGTTAATCATAATATTCTCTGGGTACTGTGCTAAGTACTGTTCAACTGTATTGTCTCACTCCTTGCTTCACTCCTGCAAGAGTGGGCAGTAATATATTCATTTTACTTATGAGGAATTTACTGTAGGTTGTTACGGTAATGATCAGAGTCACACAGCTAGTAAGAAGCAGAAGTTAGACCTGGAGATTCCAATGCTGACCAAGCTACTCACAAGGCTGAGGCAGGAGAATTATTTGAGCCTAGGAGTTAGAAGCCAGCCTGGGTAATAAAGTAAAACATTATCTCAAAAAAAAGAAAAGATAAGTAAAAAAGGGAGAGCAATTCCTAACATACCCCAGGAAATAAAGTACCTACTGGGAGCATGCACAATCCTAAGTGCTGATCTTTTCTGAAAGTGAAGGCTACAATACAGATGTAGCTCCATGGACACATTCATCAAGCCATTGCCCTGTGGAACAGAAGTCGGTCCCTTCTTCCTTATGGCAGTTTTCCACCCTGCAGAAACAGAACCAGTGTGGAGCAGGGGAAAATACACTGAGAGCTGGAGGAAGGGCGTAGGAGGAATGAGTTTTAAACTAGAAGCACTGCTCTTTCATAATACTAACTTCATTCAGTCAAAACTGTTTTTTATGGGCTTGTTTTAAATTTATGTATTAAATTCCTAAGTATCTGCTCCATTTAGGATCAAAACCTTTGGTTACTCCACATTTTCCATACAACAGTGTATATTAGGAATTTAGTAAAAGCCTAGAAATAATTTCTTAAAAGTGTACTTTCTAATGGCATACATAGGGTGTGCTTTAAAGTACTCAGAAAGGGGGGGGGGAGAGGTAAGGAGGCAAAATCTCCACAACTGATGACTCTGGGTTTGAATTTTTCATTAATAAAAACTATTTTGTTACATTTTCTGATTTCCGCAATTACTGATCTTCTAGTAAAGAAGATCTAGTAAACAGCTAAGGTTTAATGGGGTGACTTAAAGGCAATATTAAAAGTATAACAAAAAATAAAAACAAAATTCTGTATCAAAATTCTGCAACAGAATTCTGTATCAAAATGTATACTAATAAAAAATTAAAGCACAACAGAAATGACCATGTAGACTTTGAAATTAAAGAGAAGTAAACTGACCAGAAAACTGAAATTGCAGCAGAGCTTTTCTGATACTTCCATTTAAAAATAACAACATGACCTAATCCTGATACTCAGGAGCCTGAGGCAGGAGGATCACCATGAGTTCAAGGCCAGCCTGGGCTACAAAGTAAGTCCAAGGACACTATGTAGAATAGTGAGACTCTTGGCTCAATAAAAAAACAAAAGATAACAATAAGGGCCAAAGATTTAGTTCAGTGGCACAGCACCTGCCTGGCAAGCATCAAGTCCTGAGTTGGGTTTTAGGTACCAACAAAAATAATTAATTAGTTAGAGACCGAAGACATGATGGTGGGCTCATTCCCAAATGCGTTGTGGCTTCCTTCATGCTCTCCCATTTTCTTGCCCCTTGGACGCTGTCATTACAGAGGTGCCATCAGTATTTGCATTTGAATTGTGAAGTTGAGAGCATCTTCCGTGCTCAGCTCATTCTGCCTTTTTCTTTCTGTGTGTCATGCCTGTCCCCAGGGCTTGGTGTGTGCTGGGTTGGCGGACATGGCCAGGCCTGCAGAGAAGCTCAGCACTGCTCAGTCCACCGTTCTGATGGCTACAGGTAAACCCAACTAGTGTTTTTCATGCTCCTGTCAGGCATAAACCACCTGTGCATTGTGTCACGTTTACTTGACGGTTCAGTGTTTGAAATATGCGCACGCGCACACACAGAGGAATTCACAGCTTTCCCAAGCTAGGAAGGCATTGCCTTGTGGGGGACGGAGGGAGGTTATTGGCATGGGTAAGTTTTTGCCATGGAAATATTTTTGTAAGTAGGAAAAAAATGTTGCATTGTTATTCATTTGCCCTTTAATGTCAGAACTGAGAATGTTATGTAATGTCGCATTATAAAGATTATTTTGAAGACTCAAACGACAGCATTTCTTCTTGCCCCAGTCTACATTATTTTTCTAGTCTTATTGGTAATTATTTTACCCTAATATTAAATATTCTGATATTTAATACCTTTGCCTTTAAAAGAAAATACTTTGTTTCAACAGGATTTATTTGGTCAAGATACTCACTTGTAATTATACCAAAAAATTGGAGTCTGTTTGCTGTTAATTTTTTTGTGGGAGCTGCAGGAGCCTCTCAGCTCTTTCGTATTTGGAGGTAAGCCTACCAAGATATTTTTAAAACTGCTTTAGAAGCTACCCAGATGGTGGTCCTTTTTTAAGAGTCACATGTAACTCTCAGACAAAAATGTGCCTGAGACAGAAATTGAACATTTCTAGAAAAATCTCCAGGGTTACAGATAAGGTAAAAGCAGTTAGACCAGGTATGATAGTACAAAGTGAACCTCCAATCTCAGGTCCCTTTCCCAGACCACCCATGGGGAACCAGCCCACTCCTCCATCCTGCCCCACCCAGGCAGGCTTTTAGACACCTAACCTGCTACTCTTTTAATCCTAGTACGCAGGAGGATAGCTACAAGTTCAAGGCCAACCTAGGCTTCATAGTGAGTTCAAGGCCAACCTGAACTACATAGCAAGATTCTGTCTCAAAAAAACAAAATTTTAATCTTTTTTTAAAAACAGTTAAGCAAAATATTGCCTAATTTTTTAGATCTAAGTGCATTATCTAGATGGATAACCCTTCTATGTAATTCTTTTTGTTAAGACAACATGAAAAGATGGACACAGCAGAACACTTCTGTAATCCCACCTACCCAGGAGCTTGAGGCGAGAGGATTGAGCATTCAAGGCCAGCCCGGGAAATTTAGCAAGGCCCTCTTTCAAAGTAAAATTTTTTAAATGAAAGTAAGAGTGGACTGGAAATGTAGCTCAGTAGTAGAATATTTGCCAAGCATGCACAAGAACCCTAGGTTCAATCCCCATTACAAAAAATAAAATAAGATTTATGAAGAAATTTCCAAATAAACCTTTTATCACTCAGCTTTCAGTTGTATATAATAAAGTGACACTTGAAAGTACAATTACATAGTGTTGGAAATAACATTTAGAGTAAGGTCACCAGTTTCATTGAAAAGTATTCCATGAGCACTAGAAATTTCTTGAAAATACTTACTCAGGGGCTGGGGATTTAGCTCAGCAGCATAAGCACCTGTCTGGCAAGCGCAAGGTCATGAGTTTGATCCCTAGTATCCCCCCCAAATTTACTCAGTAAGGATAATATGATCAAATATCAGAAATCAAGATCTTTTAACTGGGTGTGGTAGTGCACTCCTGTCATCCAAGGCACTTGAAAGGCTGAGGTGGGAGGATCACAAGTTACAGTCCTATGTAGGCAACTTAGCAAGACCCTGTCCTAATCACTAAAAAGGCCTTGAATTTATTCTTCTTTGTGCCATAGTCGTCTCTTATGTATAGATGCCTTATTTTCTTCATTCATCTCTTTATGAAAATATACCAGGACACAGAGAGATAGCTCTTTGGCAGATGGGAGGGGATCAGGAGACCAAAGAGGAGAAGAAAGGGATATTAAAAGACTTGATATCAGGTACCAACTCCCTACAATGAATGCAACCTTTTGATGCCACAAATGTGAACTATATAATGTTAAACATAACGATGATGAGGGTGAAATGGAGAAACAGGATCTGGAGCCAAAGGAAGGATGGTGGGGGAGAGGGGAAGGGAAATCGTAAGAATCAGAGTGTTAAATGCATATGTGTGCGCCCTAAGATGAGTATCAACATGTGCTTCAAATACACTAATTCAAGAGGTTAATGCTTAAATATTTAGAGATATTTCATACTTTTTCCTGCTTCCTGAGGATTTATCAATAGATGTATTAAAAATATTATGTAAAGATGCCTTTGGGTCTCTGGGAAAAATCAAGCAACATGAAAACTAAAAGAGGCCAAGGGGTGCAGTTCAATGGTTCAGAATCCAGTAACAAGAAAGAGAGAGAAAGCAGAATCCTTTAAGAAATGTAGGCAGTAGGCTGTAGGGATCGCTTTGTGGAATAACTTCCTCCTTGTCTTAAACTGTTTTTCATCCTGGAAGAATGTCCAGAGCGCTGTGGAGAGGAGAGATTCGATGGCTCTATTGTTACTTCATCTCTGCATTAATGAGCATTAAGCTTCAAGAAACTGAACTCCTCATAACACACTGACTTGTTTTTCTAAGTATAATTTACTTCTCTGGTTGAACAGGAAGCTAATCCCAGTTGATTTTATTCTTAGGTGTGTAGTGGGTGTAAAACAAATGATTCTAGTTGACCTCATGTTCCCAAAATTTTACACACATGTTCACATTGGTCATATTCTTGTGTAGTTGGAGAGCCGAAATATTCCTTAAGGCAGTACTTTTCCACAGGAAAAGGTTGTGTCAGGGAAGCTGGTGAAGCTGTTTGACAGCTGGGACCTCACTGTCTGAATCCAGACCCGTACAGATAAAGCCTCCGATTGCTCTCCCTGCTGCCTGTTGCTGTTGCCAAGGTCCTGGGAAAATTGTACTTGGGACCCACAGTCATTCGACAACTGAGAAAGAATGGCATGTTTTCCATTCCCTCCTTACTGTAAATTTATTTATTTATTACTGATGCTCTTTCTGTTTTCTTTATAGATACAACCAAGAACTGAAAGCTAAAGCAGTCAACTGAGAGTTCCTGATGACCTGAACAGTCTAACCATGGACAGAACTGCCGGGACCTAGCTCGCTACTTGGTTACTGACAAGGCAACCCTAACTGGGCGAACATTTCCAAGGCGCACACACACAAAGCCAGCTGTGCTTGGTTCCACAAAAAAATAAAGCAAACTTTTATTAAGACTCTCTTTTCACATGACTGAAAGTACTTATCTATGGATATTAGTGACATATTTTTCTACCTTTCGTCCATAATAAGTCACCCTTGGTCATAGGTACCCCAGCCTCCTGTTTCAGTTAGCAAACATGTGCATTATAAGAGTACAAACAATCTGAACAAGGTGAGAGACTGTTTAATGGAGGCTGTCAAATAACCCTTAAATGGAAGGAGCTCTTGCTGAGAAGGAGAAATAGGAATAATAAGAAATAGTGGAATGACTTAACACAATGACCTCAGCCTTTAGCTTTCTGCAGTACTGGGGATTAAACTCAGGGAGCACTGAGCCACATCCTCAGCCCATGTGTGTATATGTTTGTTTGTTGGTTGGTTTGAGATGGTGTCTTGCTAAGTTGTCCAGGCTGACGCAGACTGCCTCCCACTTTACCCTACCTAGTAGTTAGGATTACAGGTATGTGCAGCCCTACCAGCTACCTCAAGCTATGTAAAAACTGCGAAGATTCTTGCTGTGAAGAATCTTTATTTTTCTTTTTTTTTTTCCCTGTTTGTTCATTTTCATAATGGATGGAATTCTTTTTACAGCTACAGATTTTTTTTTTCTTTTTTTTGAGAGGTCTCTGTGTGTAAAGTAGGACAGCTCGAAACTTCCTGGGCGGCACCAATTGCAGGAGTACACCACTGCTCCTGGTTCATAACAGCTGCAGATTTGGGTCTAGGATAAGTAGCAGTAAGTTATTTAATTACATTCAGGAACTGATACAGTGTAGCAGAAAATGCTGTGAGCTAAGCAGACCCGAACCTGAATCCCAGTTCTGCTGATTTATGTTATAATCTTGGTCAAGTTAAAATGCCTGACAAAGTACTTGGGACCTAAGTAGCCCCTCAGTAAATGGTTATGACCTTTGGCCCCCTTGTGAGGAGAGATTGAGCCTAGTTCACTGCATCCTAGACATAATCAGTAGCCTGACAGAAGTGCTAGTAAAGCAGGTCTTCATTAGAAGTGTAATCAAATGAATCAACGAAAAATTATTTTAAAAATGAAGAAACGAGACATAACTTGGTTGTTGGGGGATCAAACCCAGGACCTCCCTTGCATGCACCCTTATTACTGAGCGACCCATCTACCAGGGAGCTTTCTTGAGAACCTAACTGACACAGATTTGGTGATAAGAAACAGAAATCCTGTGTTTCATCATTTCTTCCTTCAGTGTATCTGTGAGGAGAAGGACTTAGAGAACCGAACAAAGGCAAGAATGAAGTGGGTCTGAAGAATGAAGCGATGCTGTGTCTTCAAACACCGTGCAATGAATTTGCGTTTGTCATATGTTTGCATGTGTGTGTTTGGATTGAGCACTTAAGAAAAACACGAAGCACGGCATAGACGTAAAAAACTGTAAAGTACGTGTGTGAGTCGGAGTTTAGCTCTTAGGAAAACCTGCTCCTTCCCATTTGGCATTTCCTGAGCTCCACCTGTGGGTCAAATGAACTACAGCAGTAAGATGTGCTCAGAAGGAATCCTCTAGGCCAGTGGGGGTGGACCAGTGGCCCACATGCCACGGCAGGGTCTGTGTATCATTAAAAGCTCTAACAGGTTCACATCACTGCCCTCTTATTCTCAGCAGCTTCATTGACAAACCACCATCATGTGTTTCCTTTCTACCCAAATAACTGAATCTGAAAACTTAAAGCTGGGCATGGTGGCATACTCCTGTAATGCCAGCACTCAGGAGGCTGAGACATAAGGGTTATTTGCAAGTTTGAGACCAGCCTGGGCTACAAAGTGAGGTCAAGGCCAGCCTGAACTGCATAGCAACACCCTGTCTCAAAAAACAAAAACAACTGACTGATACACATTTTGTCAAAAACTTTATTACCACGTGGAGCTCACATAGTCTAGTGATTAGCTTTACAACTATTGTAAAAAATTTAGACTTTATATATTGGAAATCTTACTATCCCTATAGACACTGAACTCCTTAACAATGCTTTCCACTGTGTTATGCATCCCTGGATCAGTGGCGTTGAGTTCAATCGTATGTCAGTTTTCTGACAAGTCCTTATGGGGGGATTCATTCAATAAATTTCTCAGTGCCAGATTAGACGGGTCTGGGCTTCAACTCAGCCATTTGGTGACTCAGATCCTATAAACCTCTGTGAGACGTACTTTCAAGAGGAAACCAGGAATAATAGCACTGACTTCTTAAGACCACTGTAAAGATGGAAATAATGTTTTAGCACAATGCTTGCTTTGTGGTAGTGTTAGTTAAAAGAAAGTTCAGAAAATGTCAAATTTAAGACAGACTGAAAGTACTCTCTTAGACTAAGGAAATTTTGCTTTAGCTCTTAAACAAGTATCTTTAACCCAGCTTTTTTTGTGACTTGGCATTCATTTCAAAGAACTATTGATCCAGGGTACATCAATGCTGCTCTTTCCCCATATTAAATGGATTTCTTTTCATGTGGTTAAAATCATAGTGAGAGGTTAAATGTTAACAAGGTTTAACTTATTAACCTTTTAGCTCAAGTTTTAAATATGAACCCCCAAATGTGAATTGTTGGGCTATACATAAGAGCAGTGAGAAAATCAAAATATGATGTAAGCTGTTAGAAAACATGCTTGCCTGTTAACATTTTTGCAGTGTAATAAAGGAATAATAAAACTCATCCAGTGCCACATTGGATTTGAAATTATAATCGAGATTAGTTTGGTTAGGATTATGTCCTTGAGGGGCTGGGGATGTAGTTTGTGATAGCTCAGACCCTAGAATAAAGCCCAAGGAAGCAAGAAATTAAAATTTGGGGAGCAAAGGCTTTATTTTAGGCCAGGCCTGGCATCTCAGTCTCCAGGAGCCAATTTGGAGACTGTGTGCCTTACAGCTAGAAAGGTTGGGTTTTAAAGCCGAAAACCACAGGAATGTTGTAATCGCTGACACAGTTAGGTAACATCTGGGCTTTATAGAACTTCCTGTAATTTCCTTGAAGTTAAGCATTTCTTAAAGAACAGCACGTTTTATTACAGATAGCTGGATGAGGGGTAGGGGAGGGGGTTACAGGAAACTGATACCTGAGGCTTTTACAGCTTTCTCAGGAAATTGAAACTTAGATAGATAGGAAGGGGAAAGGGGAGGGCGAGGCAGTAAGACGCATACAGAACAGAAAATGAGGCGCGATGGTTAAAACTAGGTTACAACAAAGTTCAGCAGCACAAGTGCCTGCCTGGCAAGCATGAGGTTGTACGTTTGATCCCTGGCACCAAAAGTAAAGAATTATGTTCCTGATACTCAGGTCAGGTATATAATTCCCAAAAAGAACTTACCTCACAAAAATCTCTGAAATTAAGTACTAAGTTTATTAATAATAAAGTAGGATGATTGTGACAGCATATGTTACTGTCACCAGTGACCTGGGACATGGTCTCATTGCCCGTGGAGAAGAGGCATCTACAGGCAGGTACACCTGACAGGGATAATTCGTGTCCCAGAGAAAATGGCTTAGGGGCGCATGAGATATCCCCTCACTTCTCAGAACAAACCACAACTAATAAAGCATTTTATTTTAAGAAATTGTGTTTATTTCTGTAGTTTCCCATTAATATTTTCGAGCTGTGGTTGACCACAATTTAATGTATCCTTTGAAAGCAAAGCCACACAGGAGTGGCAGGGAGCCTGCCTGTTTAGAAGCTATTACTGTGTCCAGTCACCCTCCATGAGGTCAGTCACATCACTCTCACCCAACCCGATGAGAGACCAGGAAACCAGGGCAGCCCTTGGGGAACAGGGGACCCAGCCTGGCGGGGGAGGGGTCCCAGCCTGGCGGGGGAGGGGTCCCAGCCAATCAGAAGCGTCATCAGCCCATGGAGAACAATGAGCTTCTGAGGAGGGCGTGGCCTGGGGGAACGGCTTTTAGACAAAACTGTCACTTTGTGGCTCAGCAATGGGTAGACATGGCCCTCTGCTGTCTTCAGGATAACGTCACACAGACGCCTCTCCTGTTCTCCACACTCCTGAAGCATCGGTCCCTTACCTGAGGTCTGGCTTCTGAGCCTTGGAGGAAGGAGGTATGTGGAGGGGAAGTCCCAGTAGATGGCCACTGGACCTCCATCCAGAAGAGGGCAGGTCACTGGAGGCCGGAAGATGGGAAAGCCCTGGGCTGGGAGTCAGAGCTCAAGCCCCCACTTATTTCCGGGTCAGTCTTTGGAGGCTGGAAGTTTAGAGGCTAAGATGTAACCCCTCCTACTTCCCCTGCACGCTCTATCTTTCTAGTTTAGCCTCTTCATTTGCATCTCTGCTGCAACTTCTCCGTTTAATATCCATGTTTTTGTCGTTCATCAAATAGTGCCAGCCCTGTAAAGGTGGCTAGGAACATGCTGTGGAAGAAACAATGATTAGTAGAACGTGATCTCTAAGCAGGGATCGCACAGCTTAAAGGAAGACAAAATACGAACCGGTAAAGAATAAATGGGGATATTCACAAAGAAAATAAAACACATAGGCCAGGTTGGGTGGCACATGCCTGTAATCCTAGCCACGAGGAGGCTGAGTCAGGATGACTTTCAGTTTGAGACCAGTTTGTATAGTGAGACCTTGTCTCAAACAAAACAAGGCTGAGGCAGGAGGATTGCTATAAGTTTGAGGCCAGCCTGAACTACAAAGTGAGTTCAAGACTAGCCTAAACTGCATAGTGAAATTGTGTCTCAAAAAGATCAAAAAAAAAGGAAACAAACACCAGAGAGAAGAAGCTACTAAGCTTGTGGGCACTTAATATTGTAACAGCTCAGAAGAAAAGACACCATGGCTAGAGTGGTCAAGAAAGTACTTGTGACAATATCCCTTTAACAGAATATCTCCTCTGCTCTCTTATGAAACCTGACTATATACTGATGAAAGTTGAGCATAAACTGAAGTCTCTCAGAAAATTCTGGGAGAGCTATTGAGAGAAACAATGGATAGAATCAATTCACATTTTCATTTTCACTTTTGGGTGCTTCTGAGTTTCCCTGAAACAGTGCCACTGTGCACACTTTTCCTTCCTCCAGGAGATGCATTCCTGTCTAGGCCCCGTTCGCCTGTTTGCTCCGTCACCTGGAGTCAACAGTCCCAGGAGCTGTCACACTTCCACAGTATCCGTTCTGTGCATGCACACGTCTTCACCATGAAAGAACCAGCCAAATTGCTATGGTGGCACACAGCTGTCATCCCAGAACTCTGGGAGACTAAAGCAGAAGGATTGCAAGTTCCAGCCCAGCCTGTGGCCACCTTCGCCAAGATCCTGTTTCAAAAACAAAACAAAACAAGAATCTGGGGATGTAGCTCAGTGTAAAGCCCTTGTGTAACACACACACAGAATTGGCCAAGCATTGGTGGAGGGTACCATCGACATATATTCAAAGGGTTCTGTCTAAGGTTAAACACAGCTTTTCTCATTCATAAGGCTGTCGAAGCAAATCCAAACTGAGGTTCTATCATGGCGTCATAGAAAGAAGGCCTTTCAGTTCCCACAGACCTGCATTCTCCAGCTGTGTGATTAAGGGCAAGTTACTGTCTCTAAGCTTCAGTTTCCATGTCTGTAAAACAGGGATCAAGTCTAACTCAGTGCTGTTTGAGGATTAAATAAACCTATGCAAAATGCTTCACATACACCCCCAAAAGATGTTAATAAGTTAGAACATGACAAGATGCATGTGCCTATAGAAAGTAAATATCTACCCTTTTCTAACATTACTATACTGAAAGCAGAAGGATTCTTGTAAACTAGACATTTTTCTTTGTCTTTTTATGAGTACCTCAAAGAAAAACTAGAGCTGGGCACAGTGACACATGGCTGAAATGCTAGCTACTTGGGGAGGCTGGGGCAGGAGGATAGAAAACACAAGGTCAGCCTGGGTAGTTTAGTGAAATGCGGTCTCAAAAATAATATAGGCAGAGGACGTAGCTCAGTCATGGAACATTTGTCTAAGGTGTGAGGCCCTCGGTTCTGTCCACAATACTGATAGGGAGTGGTGCCCCTAGACGTTCTAGATGTCTTTGATTTTGTGTCTGTGTAAGGATGACTCTTGTCATCTTCATCTCAAAATGCATCTATTTTCCTTGCTTAGTAATCACTAACTTAGAAAAATCTTAAATCCTCAGATCTGTTTGGAGAAACAGAATGAGTCTAATCAACTTCCCATTTGGCATTAAAACTCAAGCAAAAATGGCTGAGTATGGTGACAAACACTTGCAATTCTAGCACTCAGGCTGAGACAGGAAGATCTTTGGGAGTTTGAAGTCAGCTTGGGTTGCGTAGTGAGTTTTAAGTCTGGGCTAATTATAGTGAGATCCTGTCTCAAAAACAATCAATTAAGTTAAAACTTTAAGCAGAAATGGTCTGTGTTGTGCATGTGAGGAGGGTATGTCACTGCCAAGATTTGAGGGGCTTATAAAAGGTTTCTAAATGTTTAGAATATTAAAATTATTGTTTATTTAAAATCCATATATAACCTGGGCAGGCGGCACGTGCTTGTGACCCCAAGCATTCTAGAGGCTGAGTTAGCGGAATTGCAGCCTGGAAAATTAGTGACTTAATAAGATCCTGAAAAAAAACCCACCTCAGCTGTAACCGGCATCCTTTATTCTTATTTCCTTAGGCTTGCAGTCTTGTAAGTGGTGGCCAATGAGAACACAGCTGAGCTATGAGCTGGCAGGCAGGAGAGAACAGAGCTGTTTGATTTGCTCAGCTTTCTCAGTTCTTGGCTGCTCAGCACATCTGTGGAAGCTTTTTCAGAACATCCATGTCTATGAAAAGCGTCCTCGCCAGACATTGGGTACACACCTGTAATCCCAGCACTCAGGGAATCAGACCAGAGACCAGCCTGGCCTATGTAACGAGTTCAAGGCCAGCCTGAACTACATAGAAAGATCCTGTCTCAAAACAAATAAATAAATTTGCAAACATCCTGTTGAAATTCCCTTATTCATTAATAAACTTGCTCCCCCAGCAGAAAAAAATTATCTACTTTTCCTCTGCACCTCTCCAGGAACTTTATTCACCTATAGCCAAACAAATCTCTAGGTTACAGAGCAAGCAGAGCATTCTTTTTTGACTGTAGGGGCCCATGTTAGCTTTGCATGAAGATTTGCTTCTCCTACTTTCCCACTACTTTAAGTTTGGTCCAAACACTTAAAGATAATTGTTTTGGTTACTTTTGTCTCATTGCTGAGACAAAATAGCTGATGTTCAAAATTAGTGAAGAAAACATTTTTTTTAGCTTACGGTTTTTGGAGGTTTCAGGGTGGCCAGAGCAAAAAGGGGAAGAGCAAACCTCTTCTCCTTCCTTATATTGTACACTGGCTACCCTCCACCCTCAGCGCAGGTACAGCACTAGCAAAATCTCCTTACCCTCCTTTGCACAAGATGAGGATATTTACAAAGAACCCTGGTGCTCTGCTGAGTCTTTCCCTTAAACTTCAAAACTCAAGTTGACACAATGTATCGACCATAACAATAACTATTATGTTAACCTATAACTCTTCATCTCCTGACTTAACACTTACAGTCTCCCATTATTCTTCATGTTCCATAGTCAATGTACTTAAGATAAAATAAGCAGATTGGACTCAATCTTTGGGATCAAATTTAAACACTGTGTACCTTAAGATTGTATTGCATAAAAATGGCCAATAAACAGCTGGACAGCATAGTGCACATCTTTGTTGCAGAAAAAATATCAAACAGAGTGGAAGACTGCACAGAAGAGCTAGAAGCCAACTTTTATTACCCTACTAAGCTGGTGGGAATCAGTTCCAAATCACCAGCCACCCATCAGCTTAGAGTTCAGTTTAAATACAGTCTACAAACAGGAAATACAAGGCTGATGGCCGATTATTACATAATTGGTTACATGAATTAAGTCATGTATTGTCAAACAAGTTCTAAGTAGATTCTTGAGAAGGAGGGAAGAGGGTTTGAGCAGAACAAATAGAGTTAAATGTGTCCTTGACTGGACATAGCCAAATCCATGAGTCCTTGGTGGAGGTTGGAAACAATATATATTTTTCTAAGGAAGAAAAAACAAATGCCTTGCAACTGGATATAGTCATGGTGACCCAGTGGGATATCAGGTATAAAGAGCCCTTCCCAGGTTGGGAAGTCTGTTGTTTTTTTAACTTAATTTAATTTTTTATCTTTTTGAGCCAGGGTTTCACTATGCAGTTCAGGTTGGCTTTGAACTCACTTTGTAGCCCGGCCTGGCCTTAAACTCACAGCAATTCTCCTCTGTCAGCCTCCTGAGTGCTGGGATTACAAGTGTGGGCCACCATGCCCATCCATATTTGTAATCTCATGGAAAAATTACTGAATTCGAGGGAGTTAATTCCAATCTACCACTTCCAGTGCAACGTGATGAGAATAAAGACACTAAAAAAGCAATTTATGGTTGTGGGGAGTCAAGAGGGTCCTAAGCCCAGCTAGGGTAATTGTTAACTGGAACAGAGGCCCCAACCCAGAGCTGAACCTGGGCTTTATTCATGCATGAAGGAGGGAGAGGCTTGAGGATGAGTGACAGAGTGGCGGGAGGTATGTGAGTGCTATGAGCTGGGCTAGGTATGAGGCCTGAGATCACCTCAGCAATACGCAGAGAGAAGGGTGTGCAGAAAGAATAATCCGGGTAACCCAACTGAGGCAGTATGTAAAGTTTCGGGGTTGGTGCTTTAGCTCTGATGTATAATATTTTATGTCCTGGGAAGTCACAGCTTCTTAGCTCAAGGCTCGATCCCAGCCAACAGCATGGAGCCTGGCTCTCCTTCCTACCCAGCTTGCACATGTTCTTTGGGAGCCAAACACTGCCTGGTCGCCTTGCTTTAAAGAATACACATCATGGGGCTGGGGATTTAGCTCAGCAGCATAAGCGCCTGCCTTGCAAGCAGGCAGTCGTGAGTTCGATCCCTGGTACTGATAAAAAGGAAAAAGACAAAAAAAAACAAAAAAAAGAATACACATCAGCACCTCGGCCAGACCGATTTACATTGCTTAAAGCTAATTGAAGGAATAGGGAAAATCCCAGCCAGCTCTGTAAATATC